TTTTGATTTTTATGTTAGTTTCTTGAAGAGTTTAGCGTATATGAGTATAATCTGATAAAGTGATTTTAGGGCTTTTGTTGTTTAGGTGATAATGATACCGGAACTAGGGAGAAGGCCGATGCATAGAGGTAACGAAGATTCATCTTTTGGGGATGATTATGAGAAAGAGATTGGAGTATTGCTTGGTGAGCAGCAGAGAAGGCAAGTAGAAGCTGATGAGCTTGAGAGAGAGCTTAACTTGTATAGAAGTGGCTCTGCTCCACCGACTGTTGATGGTTCTGTTAGTGCTGCCGGAGGGCTTTTTAGCGGCGGTGGGGCTCCTTTTTTGGAGTTTGGTGGAGTTAATAAGGGTAATGGCTTTGGTGGTGATGATGAGGAGTTTAGGAAAGATCCAGCTTACTTGTCTTATTACTATGCTAATATGAAGTTGAATCCGAGGCTGCCACCGCCTTTGATGTCTAGAGAGGATTTGAGAGTTGCTCAGAGGCTTAAAGGGAGTAGTAATGTTTTAGGTGGTGTTGGGGATAGAAGAAAAGTTAATGATAGTCGATCTTTGTTCTCTATGCCACCTGGTTTTGATCAAATGAAGCAGCATGAGTTTGAGGCCGAGAAAACTACAGCTTCTTCTTCTGAATGGGATGCTAATGGATTGATCGGGTTGTCGGGTTTGGGGCTTGGAGGCAAGCAGAAGAGTTTTGCTGATATCTTTCAGGTTGGTCATACGTATTCTTGTTACGACAACACTTCTTGTTCGCTTTCAGTTGTCTGTAGTTGATTATGCTTTGATGCTTTGTAAATGTTTTCTCTGTGTGTGTTGTGTATATTTCTCGATGATATTCTTGCTTATGTAAACTTTGTGGGTTGCTTTTATGCAGGCCGATATGGGGCAAGGACATCCTGTCGCACAGCAGCCCTCACGTCCTGCAAGTCGTAATGCCTTTGATGAAAATGTTGACTCTAAGAATAATCTGTCTCCATCTGCATCACAAGGCATTGGCGCACCATCTCCATACAGCTATGCAGCTGTTCTGGGATCTTCTTTGTCAAGAAATGGAACTCCAGATCCACAGGCCATTGCTAGGGTGCCTAGTCCCTGCCTTACTCCCATTGGCAGCGGTAGATTAAGTTCAAATGATAAGAGGAACACAAGTAACCAACGCCCATTCAACGGTGTTACATCTGGTCTCAACGAGTCTTCTGATCTCGTCAATGCTTTATCTGGCATGAACCTGTCAGGCAGTGGCGGGTTAGATGAACGTGGTCAGGCTGAGCAAGATGTGGAAAAGGTCAGGAACTATATGTTTGGACTGCAAGGTGGGTATAACGAAGTCAATCTCCCAAACAAATCTGATCAAGCCCATAAGGCAACTGGCTCGTTTAGGAATTCACAATTGAGAGGGTCACAAGGATCTGTCTATAATGATGGAGGTGGATTAGCTACTCAGTACCAGCATCTTGATAGCCCAAACTATTGCCTGAACAACTATGGATTAAATCCAGCTGTAGCTTCAATGATGGCTTGCCAACTTGGGAATAGTAACTTTTCTCCAATGTATGAAAATGTTTCTGCTATGGGATTATCTGGAATGGATTCCAGACTTCATGGGGGAGGTTATGTATCTTCTGGTCAAAACCTCTCTGAATCACGTAATTTTGGCAGACTCAGTAATCGAATGTTGGGAGGAGGTGCTGGTCTTCAGTCACATATGGCAGACCCAATGTATCATCAGTATGCGAGGTTCTCTGAAAATGCTGATTCGCTTGATCTTCTCAATGATCCTTCAATGGACATGAACTTTATGGGTAATTCATACATGAATATGCTTGAACTCCAGAGAGCTTATCTTGGAGCTCAGAAATCACAGTATGGTGTCCCTTACAAATCCGGGAGCCCTAACAGCCATAGTGATTATGGGAGTCCAACATTTGGGTCATATCCTGGCAGCCCATTGGCTCATCATCTTCTGCCAAATTCTCTTGTGTCACCCTGTAGCCCTATGAGACGAGGTGAAGTTAATATGCGATATCCCTCTGCAGCAAGAAATTATTCGGGAGGAGTAATGGGGTCTTGGCACATGGATGCTAGTTTGGATGAAGGCTTTGGATCTTCAATGCTTGAAGAGTTCAAAAGTAACAAAACAAGAGGATTCGAACTTTCTGAAATAGCTGGCCATGTTGTAGAGTTCAGGTATTTCCTTGAAAGTCTTTTAGATTTTTTCTTGTGTACAATTTATTCCAAGCTAACGCATACTTGGGGATTTTCATGACCAGTTCGGATCAATATGGAAGCCGGTTTATTCAGCAGAAACTCGAGACAGCAACAACTGATGAGAAAAACATGGTTTATGAGGAGATCATGCCACAAGCTCTTGCTCTGATGACTGACGTTTTTGGAAACTATGTGATTCAGAAGGTAGATTTATTTAGTCTTCCTCTTTGGTTTTATTTTAGAGTTGAGATAAGAGATTCCTGAGTTTTGCTTATCTTCCTACAGTTCTTTGAGCATGGACTCCCGCCACAAAGGAGAGAACTGGCAGAGAAACTTTTTGACAATGTTTTGCCTCTTAGCTTACAGATGTATGGTTGTCGTGTTATCCAGAAGGTAAAGTCTAGTTCTCACCTGTTTTGCTGTTCTCTATAAGTCTATCTTCGATTCTCAAAATGTTTGTTATGTTTACAAGTCTATCTTCGATCCAGAACAGTTAAGAGTTTTGTTATGTTTGTGTTCATCTCTTTAGGCAATTGAGGTTGTTGATCTAGACCAGAAAATTAAAATGGTGAAAGAACTTGATGGACATGTGATGCGATGCGTACGCGATCAGAATGGGAACCATGTGGTTCAAAAGTGCATTGAATGTGTGCCTGAAGAAAACATCGAATTTATTATATCCACTTTCTTTGGCAATGTTGTAACCCTCTCCACTCATCCATATGGGTGCCGAGTTATTCAGGTTCTTGCCCTTAGTAATAAAGAAAGATTACACATTTCTTGATCTTATGCTTCTAAGTAAATCTCTTCTCGTCTTATGTTGCAGAGGGTATTGGAGCACTGCCATGACCCTGATACACAGAGTAAGGTGATGGATGAAATCATGTCCACTATTAGTATGCTGGCCCAAGATCAGTATGGAAACTATGTTATTCAGGTTTGTGAAAAAAGAGTTATTTTACATAGGTTGCTCAAAAACTAATACATGTTTTGTTGACAGCATGTATTGGAACACGGAAAGCCTGATGAGCGTACTGTGATAATCAAGGAATTAGCGGGGAAGATTGTTCAGATGAGCCAACAGAAGTTTGCGTCGAACGTTGTTGAGAAATGTTTGACTTTTGGAGGGCCAGAGGAACGAGAATTTCTGGTGAATGAGATGCTGGGCACAACTGATGAAAACGAGCCTCTTCAGGTTTGTCAAACACATACTTTCAGATAATTGTTGGGGGAAAATAAAGAAATTATTAGCTCATAAGCTTCTTCATCTTTTGTATATAGGCAATGATGAAGGATCAGTTTGCCAACTATGTAGTGCAAAAAGTTTTAGAGACATGTGATGACCAACAGCGTGAGCTGATACTTGGTCGTATTAAAGTGCATCTCAATGCTTTAAAGAAATACACTTATGGAAAGCATATCGTTGCTCGTGTTGAAAAACTCGTTGCTGCTGGAGGTATGTATAATATGTTCTTTGGGTCCAAAGTTTTGACCTTTATCTACTACAAACCTCCCAAATTGTCTTTATTGCAATAAATCTCATGTCCATGTCTCTAAGTGTTTATTTTTCTCATATGCAGAGAGGAGAATGGCTTTGCAGTCCCTAACCCAGCCTCAGATGGCGTAAGGCCGCAAGTCTTGTACAGCTTAACTAGGGTGCATGGCTCTGCCATAGCGTTTTGAGAATTAGGTAAGATCTAAACCGGAAATAATCTGCGGGAAAATTGTGAAGGAGAGCTTTGTTTTCTCTGCAAGATCTGTAAAATTGTGTAGTTGCTTACGGTTTTTCTATACATAGAACCAAACATCCCACTTTAGGCTGATGAGTAAGAGAGAAAATATGCAGAGAATGGTGTAAAGATGGGCTGAGATATGGTGAGGATTTTAGGGTTTCCTTCACACGAATGAGAATGGCTTTTTCATTGCCAAATGTGTAGAAGTGATAATATGTTCATGCTTAGGACAATCCCCAGTGTTTAGAGCTTTTTCTCCATCTATGTAATTTGTTTCATCAAACTCTTGTTTCTGTTTTCACGAAGAACTCTTTTGTTTCTGTAATTTTGCAATCTTGTTGTTTATATATCATAGATGTGATGACAATCACTGAGCAACCTTACAAACAAAAAATCAAATATTTGTCTCTCTACTAACAATGGAACAAAATCATTCAAGATCAATGTCAATATCATCATCTTCAATCTTCTGACCAAAACCTCTTGGTCCAGCTTTGGCTCTCATTGCCTTCTTCTTCCCACCTTTCTTAGACTTCTTCGCTGCTTCATCTTTCTCAAACTTCTCTCTCTCCCTCTTCCCAAGGAACTCAGTCACTCCAATGTACACAACCTGTAATGATATAAAACCGGTTTAGAGTCTAACAAACCGGGTTTCAGGTTTGGTTCTGTATTTTGATTAGACAGTTTATGGATAAGATTGGTTTTTTGTGGATAACAACTTACACCAATGGTGAGAACAGTGAGAGCAAGAAATGCAACAAAGAGAAGCACTTGTATAATCAGAGCAACACCATCTTGACCACCACTTGACACAATTGCTTCAGATGAAGAATCAGAAGAAACGATCTCTTGAGAAATTTCTTCCGGAGTTGCAGAGACTCTCCATAGTTGAGTTTTTTCCTTGTGAACACGAAGAACTCTAGAAGACAAGATCTTTCTTCTTGAAACAGACCAAGAGAGTGGAGATATATGGTGTGTTTTAACTGGATGTTGGAATCTTGGTGTGAAATTTGAAAGAGATAGAGATGGTGTTGTTGTCGCAGACATCTTTCCTTCCACTCCCACACTCTCTATCTCTTCAGATTCTGGACATAACCCACTTCTGTTTGGTCACATCCAACGGTTCATGTTTTCTTGAGATTGAGAACAGAATTATACATGGGCCTGAGAAAGGCCCAGTCTATTATTTCGTGGGTCTTATCTTTCTATTAGTCTTGAATTTTATGTATCATTAACCTTGTTATTAGTCTTTGATTATGCATCATTAGTTACGTAATTTAAGTTTAATTACTTTGATCTCTAAGTTTTGTACCCACCACAACAGTCACAACGTCATTAGATACGTTAGCTTTCCTCAATTTCTTTGAAGATTCTCATAACCTCGTAACATTTATTCATTATAAATAGCCATTTGTTCATTATCATTTCTCATCAAACAAAAATATAAATCATCACACAACAATGGCTAAAGCAGAACAGAGCAGCAGGTGGAATCTGCAAGGCATGACCGCTATTGTCACCGGCGGAACCAAAGGCATTGGGTTTGTCTTCCATCATCATTTTCCATAGTCATCTTTCTTGCAGTACAAGCAACGAAAAAACCTAATTTGCGAACACATTTATTATATTATTTTGATTAATCTCTGGGCATGCTATATCAGAAGAACTCGCAGGCCTTGGGGCAAAAGTACATACATGTGCAAGAGACGAATCTCAGCTTAACCAGTGCTTAAAAGTATGGGAAACAAAGGGCTTTAACGTCACAGGATCAGTCTGTGACATATCGTCCCGTACAGATAGAGAGAAACTAATGCAAACTGTCTCCTCTCTGTTTGAGGGAAATCTTAACATCCTCGTATGTCTTCTCTTCTCTGTTTCACCAACAAAAATTATGAACATATATACTAATTTTATGAACATATATATAGATAAACAATGTAGGGACATGTGTGACAAAGACAACCATAGAATCAACAGCAGAGGATTTCTCAAATCAAATCTCAACAAATTTGGAGTCTGCATACCATTTGTGTCAGCTTGCTCATTCAAATATGGAATTTTTTGTTAAGAGAGTCCAGAAACTGTCATGATTATAATGTGGAATTTTGGAATGAAGGGTTTCAAAGTTCAAAACAATCACGTAAAATTCTCTTGGTCCATCCTCACAACTACTCTTGGTTTATATATGTGACCTTCATTTTTTTTCACCAAATATGTGACCTTCATTGAAGAAACTGATATCAAGAAATGGCTAAGACAGAAGAAAATTTGAGAGACAATTCTAGATGGAGCATTGGAGGCATGACCGCTCTCGTCACCGGTGGCTCGAAAGGCCTCGGGTCAGTCTCAACTTCTCATACTTCACATACTATCTTAATAATCCAATATGGAATCATATATTTATATATGGTCTTTGATTGTATTTCAATGTTTCAACCCGAATAAAAAAATGAAAAGTATTCCATGTGTACTATGAATAGAAAAGCTGTGGTGGAGGAACTAGCCTTGTTAGGAGCAAGAGTACTCCACACATGTGCCAGAGACGAAACTCAGCTTCAAGAACGCTTACGTGAATGGCAAGCCAAAGGGTTTCAGGTCACCACTTCCGTCTGCGACGTTTCTTCTCGTGACCAACGAGAGAAACTCATGGAAACCGTTTCCTCTATCTTCCAAGGAAAACTCAACATCCTTGTAAGTTTCTGTTAGAGCAGGATTCATATGTGTCTAAGAAAGAACTAGTGATGATGTTGTGTTTTACTTTTTTTATTGTGTTTGGTTTGGGCCTATACATATATAGGTAAACAATGCGGGAACGTGTATAACAAAGCCGACCACAGAGTTTACAGCACAAGATTACTCATTTCTGATGGCTACATATCTGGAGTCAGCTTTTCATCTCTCACAGCTCACGCACCCTTTGTTGAAAGCCTCTCGCTCAGGGAGCATCGTGCTCATGTCCTCCGCTGTGCATATCAATGTTGGTTCCATCTATGGAGCAACTAAAGGTATATCTATACTCAAACTATTAATCTTAATTACGTTCCGAGAATAACATAAATGCGTGGCAGGAGCTATGAATCAGCTAGCAAAAAAACTTAGCATGCGAGTGGGCAAGTGATAACATAAGGGTTAACTCTGTCCATGGTTCATAGCAACTCCTTAATACTAGGAAAATAAGAACAATTATTACATTTGAATTTTAACTTATGCTAAAATCTCTTAATTAGTATCTCGAGGACGAAGAGTTAAAGAAAGAAGTGGAGAGTAAGACACCAATGGGACGTCTTGGAAAAGCAAATGAAGTCGCATTTCTTTGTTTTCCGGCAAGCTTCTTACTTATATAAACAATCTGCGTCGACGGAGGTGCCACGGTCAAAGGCTTCTCTTTCAACCCTCTGCTTTAAAGCGTGAATTGTTTGTTTGCGTTTGTTGTTGGAGATACAATCCAAGTCCCAAGTTGTTGGTATCCAAATTTCGTGGACCAAGTCCAGTCTATTATTTTGTGGGCCTTAGACCATTTTCATCAAAAATGTTTTGAGTAGACATTTATTAATAAAAATTTATAAAAGAAGAGGGTCAATCCACTAATTGCCAATTGGTTTTTAGTTGGAAGCCCAGAATTAGCCCAAATTTAACATTTGTGTCTATATTTCTTTATGTTTACTATGTATTTTTTTCAAATAATTCTCAAGTCTCAACCTGTACCATCTTAAGCCTTCTATTTGTTAATTATAATAAACAAAATAAAAGTAGAGTTATTCAGTCTTCTAGAATCCGTCATATTACTTTTTCGTTTGTAAGCACTTAGAGCATGATTATAGGTAGTCTCTTAGAAATAGATCTTAGCAATATTTAAATAATTTATTTGTAAAAATGATTGTTAAGAGATAATATTTTTGAGTTAAGATTTTTGTGTGATTAATGGTAGGCTCTTAACATGTGGTTCTTAGAGAAAAAATATTAAAATAAAATTTATAATTATAGAAAATTTAATAATTATTGCAAATTAAATTTACAATTATAGAAAATTTAATAATCGTTGCAAATTAAATTTATAATTATAGAAAATTTATAATCGTTCATGATGTATATGTTACACCTAGAATAGTTTTTGTCATGCGAGACGAGAAAAAGAAGACACAAATATGAAACAAAATCAACTCATTGACCAAATTATATCACAATACAAAAGGATATTACCACAACTTTAGATTACAAAATGAGAATTGCAGGTAAGAAAAGGATCAAGCCTACTCTGCTTAAGTCGCCTTTCGATTGACTTTCAAGTATGGTAGAGCTCCGATCAAATTGTCATAGTCGCTCCGGTTCACTTCGGTCTGCATTATAGAAGCAGAATACAAAGCTAAACATGTAAGAAAGAAGAGGGAAAAGAACAGAGTAGTGAAGTTGCTAATGAACATAGCCAAAACAAGTAATAACTTGAACTTGTGATCATCGTATTGATGCCATAAGTTTTTACTTTCCTGTTTCTACTAGTTAATGATAATAGATGTCTCCCTAAATCACATTTCTAAGTGAACAATGCATTTACTACCAATTCCATTCAACAAAGACATTACACCAATCAAGAAAAGCAAAAATCTTTGCTTTACCAATTAAAACCTTCTAAAGCTAACATGAAGTTCACAGTTTCAGTAATCTTAAACTTCACCAGATATACTCTTAAGTCTTAACACTATGACACCAATAGACACAAGAATAACCAGTGAACCGATCAACCTGAGAGACATATTCAAACACTTAAAGAACATCATATAATTGAATTCAGATCATTCTGATCTTCTCATTACCAAAACCTGCATCGGATTATCACATCATCAAGACATTGATTCTTTTCACTTCTTCTTGTCCATTCATCTAATAAACAGAGCAAAACAGAACGAAAGGTTAGAATCTTGTTAATCAATTTTCATGACTTTCAAGTCTAAATCAAGATAGAATCTTTAACTAGTGATGCTGATAATACGATTAATCACTCAAAGATTCAACATCAGATTCTACTACGACTAAAATCAACAAAAATCCATCAAGATAATTCAGTTTATCACAAACGATTCAAGACTAATAATTTGTATCATTCATTTCTCGATAAATCTTCTGTTTGATGCCAAATTGGAGGATCAAGCATCGATACACAACAAAAGTTTGAGATTAATAACTTACAAAGCAAAATCTTCATTGAATTGGAAATTGCAGGGGAAAAAACTCTTAGAAAGTGAAGAAGGAAAGTGATACTCTGATACAAGCGGTGGCATCTTGACCGGATTGAAGAAGAACAGCGATGTCACGCCTCATTTGCTTCACCACAACTAATCTCTTGTTCCTTAGAAGCTTTATCCGAGCCACATCCATCTTCGCCGCCGTTTTGCTTTTCTCCGATGAAAAAAAAACAAGAATTTCATCAGATGCTTAATCTTAGTCAAGCCAAGATCGGAAATTTCTCAGACACAGATCAAAATTAATCATCTGTTTTCGCAGTCGGCAAAGAGAGAGATCAAAATTTCGCCGATTTTGTGAAAAGAGTGAGCCCTCGACAACCACCGTCGCTGGGGATGATGAGGTCACGCGGCAACGACGGCCAGAGGTAAAAACAGAGCCGATTTCTCCGATTTTGGGTCGATTTAACGGAATCGCCTTCGTTTCGATTTCATCGTTGAAATCGCGAGAGAGAGAGAGAAAGAAGAGAGAGACGGCGAAAAAAAGAAGAAAACACGATTTCGTTTTTTTTGGGGTTTATATATTTTATGCTTGGATGGCTGATACGCTGACACGTGTCCACCTCTTAACTTTGTTTTTGTTCCTTAGCTAAGGAACGTTTGTTAGACTCAAAGCACATTCCAGATTAAATTATATTGAATTTAATCTTAAGAAAAACCTAAGATTTCTCTAAGAACCCTCCTATAATTATGCTCTCAGACGTTTGGATATTCAAAAAGAATCTCACAATAAATTATTATTATTTTATTATAATTTAATAGATAATTAAATTTTAGTTTTAGAAACAAAATTAAACTATTTATAAGATGATAAGTGGTTGGAAAGTTTCTCATGAGTTTCTCATGTGTTCTCAAATGAGAAGGGGTTCTCGCTCTTTTTCAATTTTTTATGTAAGGAATATCATGAAAAATCATTCGTGAACAACCGCAATATGTAATGTATGTAAACAAAATTCTCACGGATTAGCTCATTAGATCCGATTTATTTTAATATAAAGTTGTTGAAAAAAACATCATGAAAAATATTTAAACAGATAAAAAGAAAGAATGAAAAATATCTTGGGTAATAATAATATTCATATATTAATGTTTAAGGTTTTTCATTGAACACAAAAAGTCATTATCATATTCATAGCATGCAACTTTTTACAAGATAAAAAATCATCATAATGTGGGATTTGAGATGAAAAAAAGTGTAAAACAATCACGTAAAATTCTCATGGTCAAATCTGACAACTAGACTTGGTCTAATGATTTCCTAAAATATTTTCATAAGTCTCCAAAATATATATTTCTAGGGTCCATGTTAGTATATCTTGTGTGATGATATTGTAAGATAAAGACTCTGATCATATTCATCTGCTCTGTGGTGATGTTGTTGCAGACATCGTTCGTCCACTCCAAGATTCTCTATCTCTAGTTCAGCATCATGTCTTGAGATTGAGAAGAGGATTAAAGAGATTATACATGGGCCAAGAAAAATCCAGTCTATTATTTCCTAGGCTTTAGACCATCTTCATCAAAAATGTCTTGAGTAGATATTTATTAATAAAAAATTATTAAAAAAAAAAAGAGAAAAGGAAAATAAAACAGATACATTTTTCTGCATAGATACTTTGAAAAACTGTTTCTATGATGTCACTGCTACATGTCATAGTCCTAATGATCCAATTAATAAAAAAAAATTAAAAATAAAATTACAATCTTAAATTTTTTTGGAGAAATCTTAAAATTACATGAGCATTTCAGGGTTTCTACCCGATGGAAATGCTCTTATCTTTCTATTAGTCTCGAATTTTATGTATCGTAAACCTTGTTTAGTCTTTGATTATGCATCATTAGTTACGTCATCATCACTTTCCCAGTTTAAAGATTTGATTACTTTGATCTCTAATTTTCGTACCCACCACAACAGTCCCAACGTCGTCATTAGATACATTAGCTTTCCTCAATTTCTTTGAAGATTCTCAAAACCTCGTAACATTTATTCATTATAAATAGCCATTTTTTCGTTATCATTTCTCATCAAACAAGAACATAAATCATCACACAACAATGGCTAAAGCAGAACAGAGCAGCAGGTGGAGTCTTCAAGGCATGACCGCTCTTGTCACCGGCGGAACCAAAGGCATTGGGTTTGTCTTTCATCATCATTTTCATGTCATCTTTCTTTCGTTCCAAGCAACAACAAAAAAACCCTAACTTTGCTTACACATTTATATTCTTGATGAATCTCTACGCATGCTATATCAGAGGAACTCGCAGGCCTTGGGGCAAAAATATACATACATATTGTGGAAGTCGAAACTAACACAATCGAGATTTGTCTAAGGTTTTATTTTAGAGATACGATATGCAAGAATTCCCAAAGAACAACAGAAATAATTGTAACCAAAGATGGTGTTCTTGGTATTATTGATGAAAAGAATAGCTTTGATCGTACAAAGAACTAGATCGTAAAAAGAAAAGTGTTCGTTTGCTTTCGAGAGTCAGAGCTTTTTGTAGTCTGAAGTCTAGAGCGTTTTTGCTTTCCTCTTCTATGAGAGCCTTGAGTTGCTTTATATAGGGGTGGTAAACCGCCTCTCCAGCGATATTCTCGGAAGATTTTTATTTATCCTCGAAGTCTTCTTAGAATATCGCAAATAAGAATATTTTCCTTATTATTCGGAGGTTTATGGAAGCTTCCTGGTTCGACTTGATCCTTGGAGAGTCCTTCTCATTATTTCCGAGTATACCGGAAATGATCATTCTTCTTCGAAAATGATGTTGTGATACTTCAAAGGTATTTATTCACCAAGTCCTTACCTCGGGTAGCTGAAAACTTTGCCTCGGGTGCTTTAGAGGTTTTACCTCGGGTGACAACGTGCATTTCTCCTCGGGTGGTCCCCTAAGGCTTAGCCTCGAGGGACCTTAAAGATCTCACCTCGGGTAACTTGGAGACTAACTCGGGGCGATTGGTGTATTCGGATCGGGACAATGTGATGATGCAGCATACACCCCAAGCCGAGGCGTTAAGAGGGTGCCCGAGCTGACTGGCAAGTTGCCCAGAGCTGACTGGAAGGTTACCCCGAGCTGACCAAGAGGGTACCCCGAGGCGATTAGCAGGGTACCCAGAAGTATTGAAGTTTGGCTCGGTACCAAAGGATGGGTGAAATCCGACCCCAACACATGTGCAAGGGACGAATCTCAGCTTAACCAATGCTTAAAAGAATGGGAAACGAAAGGATTTAACGTCACAGGATCAGTCTGTGACATATCGTCCCGTACAGATAGAGAGAAACTGCTGCAAACTGTCTCCTCTCTGTTTGAGGGAAAGCTCAACATCCTCATTCCTCTTCTTTCTTCTCTTTTTCACCAACAAAACTTTTGAAAAATCTCATCAAATATACTTATTTTACGTGTACAATAGATAAACAATGTAGGGACATGTGTGACAAAGACAACCATAGAATCAACAGCAGAGGATTTCTCAAATCATATCTCAACAAATTTGGAGTCCTCATACCATTTGTGTCAGCTTGCTCATCCTCTTCTTAAATCCTCTGGATCTGGAAGTATCGTCTTCATTTCCTCTGTTGTTGGAGTTGTCTCATGTAGCGTTGGATCCATCTATGGTGCAACCAAAGGAGCTATTTTCCAGCTTGTGGGAAACTTAGCATGTGAATGGGCTAGCGACAACATAAGAGCGAACTTCGTTGCTCCCGGAGTCATTGCAACTCCTCCAGCTAAAACTGAAACTCTTAAAACCTATCTTTCAACAAAATTTAAATTCAAGAACTAATTGGTCCTCTTTTGTTCAGTTTATACAAGGAGATGAGTTTGCAAAGAATATTGCACCGAATATACCAATGCGGCGCGCTGGAGAGCCAGAAGAAGTGGCTGCAATGACTGCGTTTCTGTGTCTACCTGCAGCTTCTTACGTTACAGGTCAAACCATTTGTGTTGATGGTGCTCTCTCCGTTCCTGCCTTCTAAAGACTTCCACCAAGTCAATCTCTTACCAGACTAAGAGTATCGTCCTGTTCACATTCGATGTTTGTTTTTATTATATCCGTTTCTTAAAATTTAGTTTGATATACATTCGATATTTCAATGTTTTGTTTCCAACATTGTGAGTGAGTTTGATGAATAAAAGCAATTTATCTTTGTTTTACGTTTGTTTTTTTGTTTTTTTTGAAATTCAGGTTGTTTTACGTTTGTTATAATGACTCTTATTAGACCTAAACAAAGAAATGTAATGAAAATAAACGATATGGTCTCTTTCACCTGTAGATAACAGTGAAACTGACAAGTGACTAAGGCCCACTATATTCATACACGTAACGAAAAATCATGAAAAGTAACTTCAGTAATTAAGAATGTTCATGTGGTAATATTTAAGGCTTTTCCATTGAACACAAAAAGTCATTTATCATATCGTGCAACTTTTTACAAGATAAAAAAGCATCATAATGTGGAATTTGAGGTGAGAAAAAGTGTAAAACAATCACGTAAAATTCTCATGGTCAAATCTGACAACTAGACTTGTCAAATGATATTCTCTATAAGACTATGATCTTCACTGCAGAAACTGATATCCAAAAATGGCTAAGACAGGAGAAAACTTGAGAGACAAATCTAGATGGAGCCTTGAAGGCATGACCGCTCTTGTTACCGGTGGCTCCAAAGGCCTCGGGTCAGTCCCAATTCTCCTACCTTACCTAATTTTTTACTAGTTCAATGTTTTTCTCATTTCAATCATATATTTTGTGGATCTTTTGATGGTATTTGGATGTTTGATTAATCAAAGAGAAAAGCTTAATGATGGTATTGCATGTATACTATAAATAGAGAAGCTGTAGTGGAGGAACTAGCCATGTTTGGAGCAAGAGTCCACACATGTGCCAGAGACGAAACTCAGCTTCAAGAACGATTACGTGAATGGCAAGCAAAAGGGTTTCAAGTCACCACTTCTGTCTGCGATGTTTCTTCTCGTGACCAACGAGAGAAACTCATGGAAACCGTTGCCTCTCTCTTCCAAGGAAAACTCAACATCCTCGTAAGTTGATGTATATATAATAGCATGATCCATATATGGCTCAGTGAAAAAAATCAAGTGATTTTGTTGTGTTTGGTTTAACTCTATATACATAACACATATATAGGTAAATAATGCGGGAACGGGTATACTAAAGCCGACTATAGAGTATACAGAACAAGATTACTCGTTTCAGATGGCTACAAATCTCGAGTCCGCTTTTCATCTATCACAGCTCGCTCATCCTTTATTAAAAGCTTCGAATTTAGGGAGCATCGTGTTCATGTCCTCTGTTGCTGGACTTGTACATACCGGTGCATCCATCTATGGAGCAACCAAAGGTATACATGTCTATATTCAAACAACTAATGGCGCATCGCGTTGTTATGAGACTTAACTAATTAATGTATGTTTTAGGAGCTATGAATCAGCTAGGAAGAGACTTAGCATGCGAGTGGGCAAGTGACAACATAAGGGTTAACTCGGTGTGTCCATGGGTCATAACAACTCCTTTAACTAGCGGTGTAAGGAAATTTATCATATATAAATTAATACAAACACGAAAAATTATTAAAATGATTACTCGTTTAGTTTTAATTTAATTGAAAAATCTCTCAGTTTATTAGTGATGAAAAGTTAAGAAAAGCAGTGGAGGATAAGACACCAATGGGACGTGTTGGAGAAGCAAATGAAGTATCATCGCTTGTCGCATTTCTCTGTTTTCCGGCAGCTTCTTATATAACTGGTCAAACAATCTGCGTCGACGGAGGTGTCTCGGTGAACGGCTTCTCTTTCATGCTTTGATTGTTTTTTTTTTTCGTTTGATGTTTCTTAATGTTTACTCTGTGTGGAAATAAACTCCCAAAAGGAGATCTCTGTTTGTTGTTGTCCGTCTAACTAGACTTCGTCCTATCTTTATATTTTGTTTTTTTTTCGTTTCAAGGCATAATATATGTACCGGTTGCTTCGCTATATCAATTTGAATAATAAAATTGTCCTTTGATGTCAAAAAAAAAAAAAAAAAAAACGTAAGGTCCATTATCGTTTCACATTTTTATGCAAACATAATTTATTAGATTTTATTTTACTTTTTTGTGAACCTTTTTCACATGTAAACGTAAATACAAACTAAAATAGTTTTTTCTTGATGGTGCGAGGGTTTTAAAATTTGGTGTTTGAAACAAGAGACCAAAAAAATTTAAGTGAGCAACACTTACAAATGCCACTTCTTCCCGTGATCCCGTCGCATTTTTCAAGACGATCTATATACACGCTTGTGTTAATATTAAAATCTAACTTAACTTTGTATTTTTTGTGTTACAAGCAACAAAACGAAACCTTACATTGCTAATTAACACATTCATGTTGCTAAGGAATATTGAGCTTTCCTAAGCTCATTCCAACTCTCCATTAGTATGATATTGTCCGCTTTGGGCCCAAGTGGCAAAGCCCGCACGATTTATTATTGGGTTCCTTCCCAAAAGGCCTCATACTAATTGGAGTTGGAATTTCCTTATATATTAGAAACTTCTTTTCTAAACTTCCGATGTGAGACGTTGGTTTGTACCCAATAAGGAATCTCTAGGCATGTTATATATTAGAGGAACTCGCAGGCCATGGGGAGCACACATGTTCGGTGTTATACTTTTATGACAAGAAGCCTAAATATATGTTCGGGTCTTATGGTCGAGTGGTAAGAAGACGGGCTTTGGGGCGCCAACACTTTTCTAGTTCGATCAACCTGTTGCGCGAAACTCCAACACATTTCTCCTGGATACCCACACGGATATGGGCCCATGCTTATGGCCCATTGGAATATCCGGAAAGAGGGTCTATCCCTGAGCTGCACCTCACTAAGGGATTTAGGCTGAGCCCTTCCATATGCTTAAAATTTACCATGAGTTATATGAAAAAAACAAGCCTAAAATATTTTCATAACTATCCAAAATATTGTATGGTCCATGTTATTTACATTGTGTGATAATATTGTATGATAAAAATAGTCTTATCAATATTCTTCTGCTCCGTGGTAAGGCAACTGAAGAGCCAAGTTTTTTTATGATCAAAAACTAATTTGGTGAGAAGCTCCACTATCAAACAATCATGATAGTGTTTCAGGTTTAGGTATAGTTGTAAAGAACTCTTGGTTTCCAGCTCGATGATTGGGCTATGTAAAGTTGTCAAGATTGAGACATTGTTCATGTTGATCGATACAATAAGGTTTTGTGGATTCATAGGACTAGAAATTGCAGCAGATTCTCCATACTTCTAAACCGGTATCAAATCCTGACAATAGTGTGACAATAATACATATTGTCTACATTGGAGTGAGAAAGAAGATGGTTTAGGCTTTAGATAGAAGAAACTGATCTATGCCCTAAGATAACACTATATCATATGTTTCTTGTTATACAAGAACTAGACCAATATCAACAATAAAAAACTGAAAATTTTAGAAACCAGAAAAAAGTTTCTCGTGAAATAAACTGGGATTGTTCTAAAAAGCATTCTACACATCGGCACAAGAGCCATTCTTTTTGTACATGTGAAAGGAAAAACTCTAAAATCCTCACCATTTTTCTTTACACCACTCTCTGCCTTTTTCACTCACTCATCATCAGCCTAAGGGGGATGTTTGGTTCTATGTATAGTCAAAACGGTAAGAAACTACACAATGTACAGATTTTGCGGAGAACAAAACAAAGCTCTCTTTTATAATTTCTCCGCAGATTTTTGGCTTAGATCTTACCTAATTCTCAAAACGTTATGGCAGAGCCATCCACCCTAGTTAAGCTGTACAAGACTTGTGGCCTTACGCCACCAGAGGCTGGGTTAATGACTGCAAAGCCATTCTCCTCTCTGCACATAAGAAAAATCCACTTAGAGACATTGTAATGTGAATGCAAAAACAGTAAAACAATGCGGGGTTCTATAAGGCGGTACTATATAAAGGTTGAAACTTTGGATCCATAGAAGGGAAAGAACATGTGCATACCTCCAGCAGCAACGAGTTTTTCAACACGGGCAACGATATGCTTTCCATAAGTGTACTTCTTCAAAGCATTAAGATGCACCTTAATACGAGTAAGTATCAGTTCACGCTGTTGGTCATCGCATGTCTCAAGGACTTTTTGCACTACATAGTTTGCAAACTGATCCTTCATCATCGCCTATATAATACATAAGAAGAAACATATGAGCTTATCAGTTTCTTTGTTCTCTTCTCCACAACCATCATCTGAAAGTATGTGTTTGACAAACCTGAAGAGGCTCATTTTCATCAGTTGTGCCCAGCATCTCATTCACAAGTAATTCCCGTTCCTCAGGACCTCCAAAAGTCAAACATTTCTCAACAACGTTTGATGCAAACTTCTGCTGGCTCATCTGAACAATCTTTCCAGCTAACTCTTTGATTATCACGGTGCGCTCATCAGGCTTTCCATGCTCCAGCACATGCTGTCCACAAAACGTGTATCCGATATGAGCAAAGTATATAAAATCACTAGATGCAGTAAAACTCATATCTTTTACAAACCTGAACAACATAATTTCCATACTGATCTTGGGCCAGCATACTAACAGTAATCAAGATTTCTTCCATAACCTTACTCTGTGTATCAGGGTCATGGCAGTGTTCCAATACTCTCTGCAACAGGAGATGAAAAAGAGTTTTACATAGAAATCATAAGGTCAAGAAAGGTGCAACCATCTTTCCTTATTACTAAAAGCAAGAACCTGAATAACACGGCACCCGTATGGGTGAGTGGAGAGGGTCACCACATGGCCAAAGAAAGTCGAAATAATAAACTCGATGTTTTCCTCAGGCACACATTCGATACACTTTTGAACCACATGGTTCCCATTCTGATCACGTACACATCGCATCACATGTCCATCAAGTTCTTTCACCATTTTAATTTTCTGGTCTAGATCAACCACCTCAATTGCCTAAAGAGGTAAACATAGAAAAATAATGAAACTCTAACTGTTCTTGAAAATAGAAGCTAAGACTTATAGAGAACATTAAAACCGGTGATAACTAGACTTTACCTTCTGGATGACACGACAACCATACAT